TTAAATAAAATGTTATAACTAGGCTCTTTAAAAGCAGATGAGCCTAGCAAAGTGGATAGAATTCACTTCCTAGGTTACAACAAATTTCCACAATTAGTGCATATTTATTCTCTCCAAATTCTGGAGGCCAGTAGTCTGAAATCCATCTCACTGGCCTGAAAGCAGGGTTATCTGCAGGATGCTCACTCTGAAGGCTGAAGGCAAGATATTTATGTCAATGCCTCAAGGTTACATGGACTGTTTGCAGCCCCAACTTGGTTCTACAACTATGGTGGATGCTGGAAATGAAAAAAAAACAAGCCTCTCCTTAAAGTTGTATGTATCTCCCCCATTAGCGTATGGGGGATATACATCAAAGTAGCTTGACAAAAGCCATCTGTCATCTGAAATATTGATTGGATGACACACTATGCAGACATCTGAGGAAATCATGTTGCCTCAATTTAGGGCCCACATGATGGCCTTTTTGGAGGTTATTTCTTTGGGATAACCCATCACAAAGTGTTCCATTCCTTACTGCCTTTTCTGAAGATTGCATGACAAGAAAAGGCAACTGAAATTGGTTAACAAATACAAGTTCTTAATTTTTTTGCAGAGGTAAAAGGCCTGAACACATTGTCAACAAGGTAGGACTATGTGAGAATGCTTTTGAATACCTTTCAGGACCCTTAAAATCCAGTCTGTATGGAGTGACATGCAAACAGCCTGAAAGGAACATGACATTCACTGTTGTAACATAGGAATACATGGTCTCTTAAAACCACATCACAGCAACAGTCACCGAGGTACCTGGGCATATGCTTCCTATATATTAACTGAACAAGAAAAGTTAGAATGAGACAGACTACCAGGGCTCCTGAAAAATGAGTTCACTCCAGCCACAGAACTCTCACCAGTGAAGACACTCACTGGGTAATTTGCTGGGATTGAGTCTGTTTCAGAAGAAATTGAGGATGTCAGCAGTTTTGAGGTGATAGGATTAGGTGCAGTGTCATAGCAGTTATATGTGCTGGAAATCTCTCAGGATCGGACAAAATGGGTGTGTTTTTAGCAACATGATTGGCTAAATATGCTCAGCAAAGAGTTCAGTGATAGGCAAAGAGCTTGGCATACCAAGATCCATCAGAGGTCTTTAATACCTCTGGATAATTTAATAGTTGAGAATCAATACAACGATCAGTTTTTAAGTATGCAGGATCACTGCTGCTGTGAATGAAGTTTTCCTTTCACACATATATAAAGCATTTAATATGAAGGATTCTTAAAGTAGAAACTTTGTAAAATAGCTTTAAAAAGCACCAAACAACAAAACGCTCAAGCTCTATAGGCCTGTATGTGGATGTTCAGTTTCTATGGAAGGTTTGAGTAGACTTTAATGGGAGAGAAACAAGGACATTTCCACTGATGAAAAGATGGGCATCTTGAGGAAATCACGGACACATTCTCCAGAGGCACCAGGCAGGAGAAGCCATATCCATGTGGGACCCAAAACACAACACCTGTTGCCATCTCACAAGGTCATTAAAAACTCAAACCCGGACACCGCCCCTTGCTGGAGGCCCACACAGAGCTGTTTTGGGTTCCACTTAAGCCACACACCGACAAACATTTGAAAGACACCGTATTCATTTCAAACAGCCATTATAAGATCAGTCTATCTCCCTTGTGATGCCATTCTTCTATTCTCAAGTCCTGGGAAATCATTCACCTGGCTCTGCTTACCTTTCCATGAAATTCTAATTCCACTTTTCTTATGGCCTTCTCATCCCAGATTGCAATCCTTTCTTTTCCCAATCTCCTTAAACTCTTTCACAGAGAGACTGCACACTCAGGAAACAAGTCAAGAGCCTCAGGACTGGATTCACTGGCCTATGCTCTATCTGTATCTCTCAAAAGTAAGCTGTGGAAAGGTATACTTTTCTAAGGGGAAATTCTTCTATTCTATTGGGCCTGTTTTCTCCTATATAGTGGATGAGAATATAAATGTAAAGCCAGGGGGAAAGTTTCATTTTGAGGACCTGTATTTTACAAATTTCAGAGGAAGCCTTTACTGTGCCACCTCATGAAAGTAGAATCATTTCTGGACAATGAGGGAAAGCAGTAACAAGGAAAACAGATAAATTCTTCGAAATGGGCATTGAAAGCAAAGGAGGACAATGCAGAGTGCAGAGGACAAAATCAGTGACAACAAGCACGCTTCCAGAATTGCTGCTCTGCAATAGAGGGGAGAGAGAGATGAGAAAGTGGAGTAGGACGGCAGCCTTGGAGCCTGGAAAGCAGGATTCCTACGTGACAAGGGTTCTTAGAGTAGAAGCCAGAACAAAAATGTCAGTGGTTTCATAGAGGGAAACCTGCAGGCCTTGAATAAGATCTGGGTTGAATTCAGGCTTATAGCCTGGGGCAGGTGAAATGGCCCCACATAGGTGTCCACATCCCGGTCCCTGGAACAGGTGAGTGAGCTACATTACAGGGCACAGAGACTCCCCCGATGAAGATGAGGTGGGGCATGATGGCCCTGGGGTCTTCCAACACAAAGTCTCCTCTGAAGAGCTTCATGGCAGCATGACTGAAAACATCAACCACAGACACTGCTCTCTGGAACAGCTCAGAGGGAATCTTTGGGTAGGGAGTAAAAGTCATGTGGCAAAGGTCATTCAAGGAAAGGAACAGAGCATGTTCTTCACTCTCTGCAGCAAGCTCATGTGGTCAGAGTATGTTGTGAGCAACTGAGGAATATAGGAAGGAGGATTCAGACAGTGTGTCCTCAAAGTCCAGGCTACATGGGAAGCCCACAGGAAAAAGACACCAGGAATACGTAGATACATAGCCAGTGTTGCCCCAAAAGGAAAAAGAGGGTCCAATGAAACCACATTGAAGGAACTAGAATTCAGTTGGCTGATCAGCGAATGGTCATGCAGCATCTCCACACAAGACCTGTCATAGATCACTGAAACATTTCTCAACATTGCCATACTTTTAAAAAATGTCTTCAGATAATGCTGTGTTTCAAACATCAATTTAATATGGCTCAACATGAGGTCATTATATTCATCCTCAGTGTAGCAAAAGATATAGGTTTTCAGGGTGAAGAAGTCCTCTCCTTTCAAGTGCACTGTGACTTCAGGGGACAGGACCACAGCCTGGTGTCCTGCATCATGGAGCTTTCTCACAACATCCTTCATGCTGAGCCAGTGGCTGCCCTCCATGGGGACCACCGGCACCTTACCACACTCAGCCCGTGATGTCACACATGCCAAGAGCAGCAGCCTCACTAGGCCTTGCAGAGGCGCCTGCGGTGGTGTGGCCATGTCCCCAGAAGCCGACAGCACTGGCCTGGCATGGAGACTGTGCCTCCTTCTTTGGCTTCTCCATGTTCACTCTTTTATCCTGAGCAAAATGGCATATCATTGGCAGGCAAGATGCCCTCCCTAAGTTACTCGTTGCAGATTTAACCCACCCCTGGCTTTTATTACTGCCCTACTCCTGTGAGTCCAAACAGGGAGAGTCTGATCTTATCACTTCCCTCCTGGCACAACTCCTCTGACCTGTTGTTCTCTCTGGGGGACACCTGAGTTCACCTCTTCTTTTGCATGCAATTCTCAACGGAAGGCACAAGTTTCATTTCATCACCTCCTCTGTTACCCACATGCTGGAAGTCTGTCACTGATCTCCGAGGAATGATCCATGCTTTGGTTCCCAGTAGACTCTCTCTCCTGCAGGTGGTCCTATAAGCTAAACTTAAGCTCTTTCCTCCCTTTCCTTTGCAACCTGGAATACATCAGCAAGCCCAAAGAGTTGCCAGGCCAACTTGCACCATCAAGGAGGTGGTTTCTGGTACTCTGATGTAGTTCACTTTGCACAGCAGTAAATCCCTGTGATGTTACTCTATGTACCTGTAGTGAGCACTCTGTGGGAAGCAGCTGTGAGGCTGGGAAGAGCTGCATGGACCCTGAACAGGAGCCTTGATGATCTCCTTCTCCTGAAGGGTCTGCAAAGAACTCCTCATCTAACCCATGGGAGGAGAGTTCCTTGGACTACATATGAAACTAGTGAAGAGTGCTTGCCTAGCTTGGATGAAGTCCTAGTTTATAATCCCCACCATGGGGCATAATTTTAAAAAGGACTTCCTAAGTATTATAATATACAGAGATTCCAAAGCAGTGGTTGTAAATAGCAGTGATTACTAATGTTTGCAGGGCACAAACTCAGAACTTCTCAGACCTTTGATATCAGTGACTGTGGGAAGGCACTGGCTTAGTCATGAATGAAAATGGGGAGCAATTCCAGAACCTTTGGAGAGGAGAACAGACATTGAGAAAAGTTGTCCCAGCACCAGTCATCTGGTGCTACAGCATAGGACGAGGGTAGAGGTGAAGAGATATGTGAGGGGGAAATCCAGATGACACAACCAGAAGAGACCTCAACATTTTGTGGAAGTGCAGACTAAAGTGCAGATAGTGGACTGGAATTTGCCCTGGATGCTGCCACTGTGGAGATACTTTCCACTTTACAACAGGGAATTGTGTTGCAGTATCTAGGAGACACCTTGGGAGGGATGAATTCCTATTGCTTTAGGAGGCAACGGTCTCCCTTTCCTATCTCTGTGAACCAGCAGCAAGAGTCATGCTCTGATCTGGCAGGTGTTGGCTTTGGGAGCCATTTGCTAAGGAGGAAAGTTTCTGGAACATTACTGCTGAGAGTCGCTGTGGCCAGAAGTCGGCCTGTGATGACAAGGGAAAGAAGGTCACTTTTCATTTAGGAATGTCATCCTGGGAAACCAGCCACAGGCACTCTTGGAGGAGAGAAGTTGCATGTCATGCATAGGAGATAAGTTTGAGAACACCAGAGCTGGAGGTGTGAGAATGGGTGGAGGCTCTGGTGTAGCCCTGTGGCTTCAGTGTGGATGGTGTGACCCATAGTGGTCCCTGTGCCCCCAGAAGTCGTCACCATCACCAAAGGCAGCCACAGGCATCAGTTCTCCCCTCTGAGTGCCCCTAAATATAATTTTCTTTTATCTCTCTGTGTATTTTCTTCCCTTTTTAAATTTAATCTTTAATATGTTCTTCTGTTCTCTCTTCTTTCCCAACTGTACATGGAAAGTTTGCCCAACGGCAAAGCCAAAAAAAACTAACCAAAAACCAGCCACACTGCTATAGGCCTGTGTGTGGATATTCATCTTCAACAGAAGGACCCAGTGGACTTTCTGACTTGGAAAAATGAGGGCTTTTCCTCTGGTGCAGAGCTGAGCACCCAAGTCCACTGCATTGGCTCCCACAGGGACTCCATGGCTCATTCCCACAGAGACACCAGCAGGACACCAACATCCATGGGAGACCCAGACTCTGTGGGGCCATCTCAGTCGGATCCCAAATTCAAATCTGCACACCCAGCTGCATTGGCTGCTGCTTACCTCACACCCTGGGAAATGTTGGGAAGACACCATGCTGGTGTCAATAATCATTACACAATCTTCTTCCCTCATCGTGCCCTTCTTCTCTCTCTGAACCATAAGAGAGACACTTTCCCCATCTTGGAGAATCAACCTGCTTAGCTTTCTATGACTTTCTCACTGCAGTTTCTCATGGTCTTTTCTCAGATGGCTTTCATGTCCTCTTTTCCCGATCTCCTTTGCACCCATCAAAGAGAGAGTCGGTCACCAGGAGTCTTGAGGAACCACACTGCATGAAGTCCCTCATGATCTCATGACTGAGCACAAGCTCAAACTGAGCTCTGGGAAGGGGGTGCTGTCTAAATGGGAATTCCTTGTCTTTGGTTTTATTTATTTTTTCCTCATATAGGGTGAGAATTTAGGTAGATCAGGTGGAATGTTCCATTTGAAACATCTAGACCAGTGATAGTGAACCTTCTAGAGCTTTCACTCATACAAAGATCTCTCTGTGGCACACGTGCCATAGGTTCACCACTGCTGATCTGTGCTTTACAAAGTCCAGGGGAATCCTCTACCTTGGAACTTTCTGCAGAGAAGCTATTTGTGAGAAAGATGGAGTAGACCATAGGGACATAAAGCAAAAGAGATGGCTTTTTTTAAAAAATGAAGAACGGAAGCAAAAAAAAGACTAGGATAATGCTAAAAGTAAAATCCTTGATATTAATATGCTCCTCCAGACAAGCTCTTCCCAGGATGCAAGGGAAATGGAGATGAGAAAGCTGAAGAGTGAGATGACAACTATTGCTGCTGTCCAGAAGCTCCTAGACAACAGGAATTCATTGATGACAGATGCTCGTAAAGAAGAAATCAGAAGAAAACTTTCTGTGGCTCCACTGAGGAAAGCCTGCAGGTCTTGCTTAAGTTCTGGGTTTAACTCACTGTTTGCTTAATCCGGGGGAAGGCAGAATAATGGCTGGACTGACACAATGTCCACATCCTCCTCACTGAAACCTGTTAATATGTTGCACTACATGGACAAAGGACTTTGCAGACATATGCTTGGCCTTGAGATGGAAAGATTGTCCTGGTTCATCGGAGTGAGCCCAGTGTCACCACAAGACTGTCATGAGTGAAGAGGGCAATATGAATGGTAGAGGTTTCAGCACACCACACTGCATGTACATAGACATGAAAGAGAGTCATCAGATTCCAAAATGAATGGGAATGGGAAACTAAAGGAAAAAGGAAAAAGGAATGTAAAAAGAAACAAGATTTGATTAGTATGGAGGGATAAAACTCACATAGGCAGATAGGTAGGTAGGTAGATGAATAGATAGATGGATGGATGGATGGATGGATGGATAGATAGATAGATAGATTCAGATAGATAGATATCTTGTTAATTGGCAGAGTTCTGGTATGAAAAAGAAAACTGCCAGCTTGCAGATAATTAGAAATTCCTTGAACTTTAAAAGCAAGTTCTCAGAAAATTACTTGAAGTTAAAAGTAAGGAAAAAGGTGATTTGAAAACTAAATAAGGAAAGCAAGCATGGGATTAGATGAGATGAATTGAAAGGAATGTTAATTAAAATAAAAGCAAACTATAGGAACAGAACAGCCACATGCATTGACCTGGCTGTTACGATTTGCAAAACAGAAGCTATTATGAATGCTAATATAATTTGAACAAATACCAGTTAAGTAAGGGCACATATTTCAATTAGATAAGACATCATTATGACAATTGTTCATATTCATAAGGATCTTTTTTTCAAAACAACTGGAAATGTACCAGTTCGGGGTATCCATAAAACATTTACAAACACTGATCACACAGCAGCCACTATTACATATGACTAAGGAGCACCTAAATGTGGCTAGTCCACACTGGCACATGCTGTACAAAGTGATCATGTCAGCAACTGCAATTCCTTTATCTTTCCACTGAAAATCTGCAGGCAATGCTCCTCCCTGGAGAATCAAGGTTCTCTATTTCTGCTGAAGCTGATGGAAATGAAGGAAGACCGTGGCCTACACAGCGCCAGTCCTGGTGGAGTCACATCGTGGCTCCTCAGTCCTATTACAGCCCCACGGCCTGGCCTCTCCACATTCTAAGAGGCCACTGCAGACCTCATATTTACTTATGTGAGATTGACTACTGTACACACATTAATAGTTTACCTCATCAAAGACTGCTAGGAGAAGGAGAAGTAGAAATCTTTGGAAAGTAAGCACTTGACAATAGTTTAAAAATATTTTCTGCTGGAAGACTGATTGGACAAAGGCACCAATACAGACCTGTGAGAGCGGCTTCCTGCTGACACAGTTGATGCCCCCGATGAAGACCATGTTGGGCATGATGGGCCTGGGGTAGTCCAACACAAAGTCCCCTCTGAACAGCCACAAGGAAGCATGGCTGAGAACATCCACCAGAGACACTTCTCTCTGGAACAGCTCAGAGGCGATCCTTGGGTAAGGCCCAAAAACGGTGCTGCAAAACAAGTTCAAGGCCAGAGGATAGAGCATGTTCTTGACTCTCTGCAGGAAACTCATATGGTCAGAGTATGTTGTGAGCAACTGAGGAATATAGGAAGAAGGGTTGGGGCACTGTGAGCCAGCAAAGTCAAGGCTACATGGCAAGCCCCGCAGGAAAAAGACAGCAGGAATATGCAGATACTTAGCCAGTATTGCCCCACAAGGAAAAACAGGGTCCGTTAAAACCACATCAAAGGAGCTGGAATTTAGTTGTCTGATCAGCGAATGGTCATGCAACATCTCCACACAAGACCTCTCATAGGTCTCTGAAACATTTGTGAAGATTTCCATCATTTTTAAAAATGTCTTCAGAAAATTCTGTGTTTCAAATGTCAATTTAATGAGGCTCAACATAAGGTGATTGTATTCTTCCTCGCTGTAGGGGAAAGTGTAGGTTTTCAGGGTGAAGAAGTCCTCTCCTTTCACGTGCACTGTGACTTCTGGGGCCAGGACCTCAGCCTGGTGTCCTGCAGCATGGAGCTTCCTC